CCCCCCCACACACACAGTTGCCTATTCCCCGCCCTCCATGTTAATTCCACGGTTGTTTGCAATTGTAAATTTGGTGAGTGTTGCGGTCCCCCGGGTCCTCCTCGCGGCCCGCCTGCGCCGGGGGACTCCCCCGTGCACACAAGACAGCCCCGCCTTTTGTGTGTCCAGATTCCCCCCTTCATTGTCTGTCGATTTGCCCGCAGCAGCAGCGCCGCATAATGCCGTGCAGAGTGCTGCTGGCTGGGCGCCGCCGTCGCGGCACTGCGCTCTCTCAGAGAGAGAGAGAGAGAGAGAGAGAGAGAGAGAGAGAGAGAGAGATACACAAAGTGTGTTTCTGGGTAATTTGCCAAGTACTGTAAGGACGGGGGGCTTCTCGCGCTGCATTTACCTGGGACGTGATCAGCTACGCCTCGTGCACATCCGAGCTACCCCCATCCCCCCCTCACCCCAACGCCGCCGCCGTCTGCTACTATCCCCGTAACACGTGTTGTGTAAGAGCATGGCAGGCGTTGCGCTATGGTAAAGGTCCTTCTGCTGGCCACGTGACGTCGTTAACTCGCGTTTTACAACGACTTCCCTGGCGCTCTTGCTGCTGCCGCTCGCGGGCAGCTATAGCTTAGCTGGCCGAGGGGAGAGAGAAAGGATTCTTAATGGTCGGCACAGAGCCGGGGGTCGGGTCCGGCCGAGGATGGCGCAGCTCCCCGACGCTTAGCGTTTTTGACGACCTTGTTTAACTTTAATGGTGGTAGACCGGACCGCCTCGGCTGCTGCTTACTTCCCCCGGTGCCTCCGCACACACCTCCACGTCTACCAAATCTGGAGCGGAATCCCTCTCTCTCTTGCTATTGTGCTGACCCACTTTTCTCCTCGCCATCCTCGTTATACGCGTGTTTGTCAAACTAATTACGTGCGTTTCATAAGGGGGAGAGAGGACATTGCAGAATTGTAATTTTGCGGTTTTGGGGGAGGATGCTCCGTGTTTTTCTGCAGAATTAAGAAACGCGCCCCGCAACGATGTAATTCTTGCTGGGCGCCGCGTGCTGCTGGGGCTGGCGCCGGTGGGCGACGGGGCCCGGGTGGAGGTGGCAAAACTCCTCCCTTACTCTCTCCCTCGGACGTTTCATATTTTCGGCCTTCCCTCACACTTTTAATATTTTTTTTGCCCCCTTCCTTGTACCTTTTTACTCGTAATTAACGTTTATGTCGCGCCGCCTCTTTTTATTTTGCCGTGTAGCAGCAGCAGCAGCAGGAGGCAGGGTCCGGGCAATCCCTTAGCCTCGGCTAACCAACCCCAACCCCAACGCTCGGCGGGGCGTGGCGGGGGTACGGCGCGCTGCAGTAAAACCGAGACATTCCAGACATTATCCGTTTCGGCGGGGCCTTGCCGAAATGCCTTGCGGCCGACGCCACACTTTTTATTAATATATCGGGTGGCGAGGGGAAAAGAGGTGGAGGGAAAGGGGGTGGGTTGAGGCTGGGCAGGCGGTGGCTATGCGGAGAGCGGCGCTGAGGTCGCTAATTAACTTGTTGGGGGTGGACCAACGATAAATAATATCGGGGATCGGGGCACTATGGAGTAGCGTATATTTTCCGTGGCAGAGAGAGAGAGAGAGAGAGAGAGAGAGAGAGAGAGTGTGTGTGTGTATGTGTAAGGGGAAAAGGGAGAGGGGGCGCTCCTCCGCACCGCTGCTCTTGTTTGGGAGGGCGCGCGGTCTGACAGACTGTAGTCTTGTTTCCCTGCGCCGTTACCTTGCCTCCCGCCGCCCTGTTGGCCAAGGTCTGCTCCGCAGTACTATACCTCCAGCCCAGCAGGAGCCCCCCATCTTAAGAACAGGTAGATGTATATTCACCGCAGGAACTGACATGATTATTACAATTTTTGAACTAGCGCGCCACAACACATAAACCTCAGCCCCCCCGGCTTTTGCTGCTTTGCGTGGGCTTTTGTTTTTTAGTCGCTTGGCCAACCATAAAAAAACAAAAGCAGGGGGTAGGTGGCATGGTTCGAGGGAAAGAGGGGATGCCTGGAGGGACTCAGGACAGGGGCACGGAACGGGAGGGGGGGATTCGGGTAGCAAAGAAAGCTGAAAAAAAGGATGTGCGAGAGTTGGCGTCGGGAAGGGAGGGAGGGAGGCGGGCGGGTCACCCTCTCGTAGCAGCAGCGGCAGCGTGTGCAGCGGGACGCCCCACACGATATGGCCGGTCCCCCGTGTTCGTCTCTGGAACCCCTCTGCACTCAGGAAATTGCGACGGTAGCCGGTCTATCTTTCTGGTCCTCGTGGGACGGCGGGGAGGACCAATAATGACAACAGCAGCTGCGCCGCCGAGCCCCGCGCGCTTGCAGGCTTGATGAGTTCCCCGGGCCCCGGGCCGGGACCCGCCGGGGGCTGCTGCTTCCTCTTCCTCCCCTTCTGCTACACAACCGACCGTCGTCGTCGCTGTGCTCCTCTTACTTTCGCCCACCCCGCAAAGTGCATTTTATCGCTCGCCGGGACCCGCCGGGACGGAACCGCCCGCCCCCGCGCCGCGCCGCACCCGCCGCTCCGCTCGGCCAGCCGCGCAGCCCCATCGGTCCGCTCGTTACAAAAGGTTTTCGCGTTGAATCGGCTCTGGGATCCAAGCCAACTGACAATGGTGAAAGTGTATTGTGGCAAACTCTTTCCTGCCGGCCCCCCGGCCCCGGACCGCTACGCGTAAATAGTGGCGCAGGACGGCGGGGGAGGTGGGGGCGGGCCGCAGAAACACTGTACAGTGCGAACTTCCATTTCCGGGAGCAGCATCTCTGTTCCGGTGCAAAACAGGGCCAAGCCGAGGCCTGCTCTGGGGGACCAACATTATGGGACGCCTGTAGTTGTTTCGGGCGCCCTCTGCCCCGCAATCGCGCCGCGTAGTCGCTGCCTTTGATTCCGGCGTCCGGGTCAGCGATTGTCCCGGACCCCGGCGGGATGCTCCATTAATAAGCGTCTCCCGGACGGAGACGAACGACCGTTGTAAACTGTTGTCGGGCCCTGGAGGGAGACAAAGTGGGTGTCTGACGTGAGGTCTGTGTTTCTGTTGCAGGTCGTCCCCGAGCGGCTGCCCGGAGCCCACGCCCATGGCGTCGTCCGGGCCGCCCAGTGACTGCCGGCCCCCGGGGGCGGCGCCGGCGGTGGGGGCGGCGGCCGCGGCGGCACCGCTCATCGGAGGGCGGGCGCAGGGCCGGCGACCAGCCTGGGCGCCATGTCCCTGAACCGCAGGGCCCGCGGGGGCCAGGGGGGCGTGGCGCAGGACGGCGCCCCCCCGCAGACGTGCCACAACTCGCCGCTGTGGAGCGCGACGGGCTCGCCGCGCCGCATGCCCGGCGGCGCGCCCTACGCCCCGCTCAACGCCATGGGCGGCACGCTGGGCGGCGCGCTGGGCGGGCCCCTGGGCGCCAGCGTGCACGCGCTGCCCGGCGCCGAGTGCACCGTGCTGCCGCACGCCCCGCACCAGCCCGCCCAGCAGCACTGCCGCCACCCGGCGCACGCCGCGCACCACGCCGCGCACGCCGCCCACGCCGCGGCGCACGCCGGGCCCAACGCCGTCCACCCCACCGCCTTCAGCGCGTCCATGCAGGACATCGAGCTGGAGCTCCAGCAGCACATCCAGCAGTGCAACTGCACCTGCGACCACATGGGCTACGGCAACTACATGGACTACCAGGTGAGTGCGCCGCCCCCTGCTTATTCTACCATCACGCCGCGAGCTGCGCCCTACGCCTCCCCCTTCAAGTGCGTCGTTAGGGCCGACCGGATGGCTCGTCCGGCCTGGGGGCCATCGCGTGGGGATAGCTGGGGAGGCGCGCCTCGCCTCGCCCGCTGGACCATCCCCACCCCGCCAGCCCCGCCCCGCCCTGCCGCCTGGCTTAACACAAGAACACTCTCCAATTTGGGCGGGTGTGGCTGGCGGGGACACGGCGTGGCCGTGGCGGGGCGCGGCGTGGTGGGCCGTTCTGCTGATAGGGCCCGGGGGACTTTGGCTCTGCCGCCGCTCCGCTCTCCCCGCTCTCCCCCGCCCCGCCCCACGTCTCTTTGTTGCACTCTGGCCCGGAGGCCTACAGGCTTCGGTCGTCGGGGGCGGAGGGGGCGGCGCGCGCGACAGCAGCACCACGCATTGTTGTCGCTGGTGGCGCCGCATTGTTCCCCCCGTTTGACTTTTGTTGACGTGTTGTAATGGGTCGCGCTGCCGGCGGCGCCTTTGCGTCCCGACGCCGCGCGCCACGACGCCTCGCTGCCGCCGTGACAACGCCGCAGCAACGCCGCGCCCTCCCCGACGGCGCCGCCGCCGCCTACTGCTGCGCGCTGGCTGCAGATCCAGACCACCCCCAACCCAACGCGCGCTCTCTCTTTCGATCTCTCTCGCTCTTCTCCTCGCTTTGTGTTTAGGGAAGAAGAGTGGAGGAAAAAACCCCGGCGGCGACAAGGACTGGGAAGACTTTGTCGTGGTCGTGGTGTCGGGAGCCCGTGGGGGGTTGGGACGGTGTTGGGAGACCGTGGAGCGCGCGCTCACTCAGACACAGACACACACATATCCACCACACAGACACGCCCCCCCCCCACACACACACACTGCGCACCCCGCGCCACTACTACTAGACTAGGAAACCCGCATGGAATGGATCAGACCCCCGCCCCGGTTGCACATTACGCCGAGCTCTACTGCCTCCCCCTCCACGCCGCCCAGCTCAGCCCGTGGAGCGGCGGTGCGTGGCGGGGCGGCGGCGTCGATGTAAGCCTTCCGGCCTCGAGGACCCGCCCGGCCAGATGGGGGGGCCGCCTCGGACCCGGCCCGGTGACCGGGCTGGCCGCTGAAGCCCCGCCCTGCCCTGGAGTCCCGTGGAGCGTGGTCGGGGACCGGGCAGTGGCCGCCGCCGCCGCAGGTAGGGCAGGGCGCGGGGTGGTGTGCGGGGCGGGGCCCTCTCCACGGCCCGGGCTTGTTTTAGAACTTACTCCACTCCCACCCACACATACGGCGTGCGGCCGCGTGTTTCCAAATAGGGTGAAAGGGTTACCCCCTGCCCGACAGAGCGCAGAGCACGGCAGAGCAGTAGTGCCGCCACTTTGAAGAGTATTAGTGGTGGAGGTAACAACGGCCGGGGTCGTCGGCGCGGCGCTGGAGGCGGGGGCGGACGGGGGAAAGAGGAGGAGGAGGACGCCTAAAACTACGCGACATTGAACTCGCCCGCCGGTTCGTTAGTACCTCGCGCCGCCCAAATTGCTGTCAGTCGCGTAATTATTTCGACGCCGTGACGTATTTGCCGCCGCTCCTCATGCAAAGTGCGCAGAGCGGCGGCGGCGGCGGCCGCGCGCGCGAGGGCCTGCCCGTAATCCCCACGACAAAGAAATTTAAATGGGGCACCGAGAGGAGGAGGGAGAGGGGAGAAGAAGAGTGAAGAGAAAGAGAAGGAGGTGGAGGAAGAGAAGAAGACGCCGCGTGGGTATAGACCTGACGCGGGCACTAACTCTCCCTCTGCCTTATTAACATGGCGTCTTTAATCCGGCCCGCCCTGCTGCGCGCAAAGCCGAGGTATTTCTGCGATATTAATTAACATCCCGAGCAACAGCTGGTGTAAAACGTGTCGCAATCATCGTAGTGCTCGCCGTAGCAGCGGCAGCAGTAGTAGCAGCGGTAGCAGAGCCGGCGCCATAGCGTGGTCGTGTCCGAGGCCGGGGTCGGCCGGCCTGCTGTAGACACGGCCTCGGACACGGCCGCCCGGCCCGGCCCCCAGCAGCCCCTGCCGCCGAGCCAAACCGGCGAGCTGTTTTGCTTGAATGACGCCAACAGATAGCCCAGCCAGCCAGCCGCGCGTGGCCCGCGAGAGTCCCGGGCCGGGCTACACGAAGATGGATGAGGAGAACCCTGTCAGCTAGGCAACGCGCCCCGGGCCCGGCCCCGGGTCAGTGCACCGCTGTTGGCCGGGTGGCCTATCTGGCCGCTCGCAGGCGCCCGCGGCGGCAGCAGCCCCCGGCCCGGCCCGGCCCGGCCCCGGCGGCGTGACTCGGCGTGACAGACAACATCATTGATGGACCCGACCCCGCGGCAGCGGCGGCGGCGGCGGCAGGCGGGGCAGTGTTGGCGCGGTATGGAGTGATCGATAACAACGGCGCGCGGTGGAGGCTGCGGCGGCGGCTTGGCTCTCCGGGTCACGAGTGCGTGTGTGTGTGCGTGTGTGCGTCGTGCTTTACGCGGCGCGCGCGGCTCAAAGTTTTCGAGTTTTGTTTTGGTGTCGGCGGCGGCGCGGTCGCTCGAGTTTAAATGGTGTGTTTTGTTTGACAAGTTCCCGCTCGCGGCGGGATGGGGGTGGGATGGGATGGGATGGCAAAGAGAAAAGATTGATCGTCGGCCGCGCTATGCCGCCGCCGCGCCGCCGCCGGGCCCTTGCGGCGGCGGTGATGGCCTCGAGGTGCGCGCCGGCGCCTTGTTGTAATGACCCCACTCCACCCCGCTGCTCCTCCCCGCTCCACTCTACTCCCCTGCTCCTCCCCCGCTGCTCCCTTCTACTCCTGCTGCTGCTGCTCCTCCTCCGCCGCTTAGTGTTTTCGATCGGGCGGGTTATCGCATTCCAGCTAGCCCGACGCTTGATTTCGTTCATACCCGACCCGACCCGACCGACACAGTGAGTCGGGCGAGTCGGGCAAAGATTTTACCCGACAGAGAGACAGTTTCCAAATCACCGGCCCCGGCTGTCCTGCCGCCCGGTCAAGCTCACAACCGTGGCCAGGATCGACCAGCAAGGGCGAGGGGTGAGGTTTCGGGGACCGGAGGCGCCTAGTGAGGCTCGGCAGCCGATGTAAGTGTCGGGCGAGCCTTACCCGACCTCATCGTGTGACGTGAGCGATGAGACAGTTGCCAGCCACACAGTTCTATCTCCTCTTGTGTCGGGCAAGCGCCGATCTCATACCCGCCCAATCGAAAACACTACCGCCGCTCCTCTCCTGCTTCCCCCCGCCGGCGGTGGTGATCGTGGCGCGATACGTGGCGCCCGGCCCTTCCTTCCCCTTGATTATGATTAATGTCGGTCTGGGGCCTCAAAGAATGCCCTGCCCTAGGTGCTCTCCCTCCTCCCCCTCCTCCTCCTCTCGGCCCCGTGGGGACCGGCCGATCGCTCTGGTAAGGGGGTGGTGGGAGAGGGGGGAAGTTGGGTCTCAGCCTCAGCCCCTCATTAGCTCGCTCGGTCGGTCGCCGAGGAGTGTCGCTGATAACGAAGAACCCGGGCGACGACGACGTCCAACTTGCTGATACCCGCCGGACCTGTTGCGGTACCAGCGATACGCCACGCTGCGTCGGGACGCCGCCGGCGAACCTCTCCTCTCTCCCCGTTTCCCTGCTCCTTTTCGCGTGCCGAGCTTAAGTTCGTAGACTTTGCATAATTTGTGTGCGCGGATTGCGGTGTGCGCAGCAAACGTGTAAGAATGTGTTTTTCTTTATTTGGGGTTGGTATTTTCTCTTTGTTTCTTTTCTTTCGAGGATACCGCAGGCGAAGGCGGGCGGGCGCTGCCTTGTCGTCGACCCCCCGCCGTCATATCGCCGCCTCCTCAGCCAACCGTGGCAGCAGCGACGGCAGGTGGTGGCGTGGGGAGAATCCGAAACTATTCACAACTTGTTATCCGGCATCATTAAAAACGCATTACTTGCGAGAGCCGGGTGGACCGGCCCGCTCGCTGGCCGCCTGGGGCCGCCAGCGGTGGTGGGGTGGGGTGTGGCGTGGCCG